ATAAAGATCTAAAGTACTGTAGGGGAGCAACTGATTCTAACTGAGTACATGTTCAATGGAAAAGTTGGACATAAAATTAACATTTAATACCGACACTGAAAATAACCCAGATCTTTATCTACAGACATTTTATTCTGTCCATGGCAAGCTGACAGGTATTATAAAATTTAGCTTAGTTTCAAAAATACCCTGAATTTATTTCTTTCTTTCAATAACTATGATATGTGATGCCTAATATTCAAATAAAAAGTGTCCCAAAATAAATAAAATAAAAACTCTGTAGGCTCATAAAAGATCAGATTAAGACAACTTGAGCAGAATGATGCAAAGCCAAAGCACCAGTACTCCAGTCTGGCTGCTGATTATTCCTGCCCTTGCATGGGCTCCTCCTCTCCAGTGTCTCGGAGCATGCCTGAGGGGTGAAGCTTCTCTTGTAGGTATCTGGACTGAAGATTCAACTTGAGGAATCACTTAGCAATGCAGCAATGCAGCAGCTTTGGGGCTTTGCACACCCTGTTTCTTGTGCCTGCCTCAAAAGCTCTTTCTTTTCTATCCTGTCTCCATTGTTATCTGGTGACCACCACTTTCAGGTCCAAGCTTAGACCTGAAAGGTCTAAGGAGGTGTCACAGGAGGTGTCCTGTGGGACATCTTCCCTGAGTTCCTCTGACAGTCTGAAACTAAGGGTCCCTCTTCAGTTCTCTAATTGCACTCTATACTAACCCAATCATAGCACATTGGAACTATTTGCTTTTTCTCCACAAGTCTGCAATAAGGAAGTGTGTTTTGTTCTGCCCTTGCATGGCAATGTGACATCATAGATGCTCATTATGGATTGAAATGGGTCCCTCAAAAAAAGTTGTGTTAAATTACTAACCCCTGGTACCTCAAAATGTTACCTTTTTTGGAAATTGTATATAAAATGAGGTAAGAAGTTAATGCTGGATTAGGGTGGGCCCCTAATTCAATATGACTGGTGTCCTAATAAGGCAGCCATGTGAAAACGGAAGCACACAGGAAGAAAGCAATGTGACCATGAAGGCAGGGATTGGAGTTACCACCGCTGCAAGGCAAGGAATGACAGACTGCCAGGCAACCACCAGAGCTAGGAAGAGCTAAGGAAGGATTCCCCCACAGGTTTCAGAGGGGGCGTGGCCCTGCCAACACCTTGGTTTTTGACTTCTAGCCTCCAGAACTGTGAGACAACAAATAAGTTGTTTTAAACCACCCAGTTTGATACTTTGTTACAGCAGCCCTGAGAAAATAGTTCCATGTTCAATAAATTTGAAGGGACCAGTGGATGACTTACAATTTTTATCTGGTGATAACGAATCTATGTCTATACTCAGTTATTTCTTGCTTCTAATCTTTTTTTAAATCATTTTTTATTTTTCAATTACTGTTGATATACAATGTTATATTAGTTTTAGGTATACACCCCAGTGATTAGACACTATATAACTTACTAAGTGATCATCCCAGTAAACCTCATACCCATTTGACACCATACATAGTTATTAGAATATTATTGACTATATTCTCTATGCTGTACTTTACATCCCCATGACTATTCCGTTACTACCAATTTGTACTTCTTAATCCCTTCACCTTTTTCCCCCAACCCCTAACCCTCCTCCCCTCTTGCAGCCATCAAAATGTCCCCTGTATCTGTGAGTCTGTTTCTGTTCTGCTTGTTTTGTTTTTATATTCAATTGTTGATAGATATGTATTTATTGCCATTTTATTTTTCATACTTTTGATCTTTCCTTTTCTTCTTATAGAAGACCCTTGAACATTTCATGTAATACTTACTGGTTTGGTGGTGATGAACTCTTTAGGTTTTTCTTGTTTGGGAGGCTTTTTATCTGCCCTTTAATTCTAATGATAGTATTGCTGAGTAGAGAATATTGGTTATAGGTCCTTGCTTTTCATCAATTTGAATATTTCTTGCCAATCCCTTCTGGCCTGCAAAGTTTCTGTGAAAAATCAACTCACAGTCTTATGGGAGCACCCTTGTAGATACCTAACTGTCTTTCTCTTGCTGCTTTTCAGAATCTCTCTTTGTTTTTAACCTTTGTCATTTTAATTATGATGTGTCTTGGGTTGGGCCTCTTTGGGTTCATCTTGTTTGGGACTCTCTGCACTTCCTGGACTTGTATGGCTGTTTCCTTCACCAAGTTAGGGAAGTTTTCTGTCATTATTTTTTAAACAGGTTTTCAATTCCTTGCTCTTTCTCTCCCCTGGCTGGCACCCCCATGCTATGAATGTTGGTATGCCTGAAGTTGTCTCAGAGGCTTCTTACAGTATCCTCATTTTTTTTTCTTTTTTTGCTATTCTGATTGGGGTTTGGGGTGTTTTGTTGTTTTGTTTTGGGGTTTTTTGCATACTTATATTTAAATCACTGATTTAAATCTTGGTTTCACCTACTCTATTGATTCCTTGTAAATTATTCTTCATTTCAATTATTGTATCCTTCATTTCTGACTGGATATTTTTATGGTTTTCATGTCCTTTTTTATGCTTGGAGTTCTCTCTAAGTTCATCTACTCTTCCCCTAAGTTCACTGAGCATCCCTATTACCAATGTTTTAAACACTGCATCTAGTAGATTGTTTGTCTCCATTTTGTTTAGTCCTTTTTCTGGAATTTCACTTTGTTATTTCATTTAGGACATGTTTTTATGTGCCCTCATTTTGGCACCCTCCTTGTGTTTCTTTCTATGTACTAAGTAGAGTTGCTACATTTCCCAGGCTTGGTAGAATGGCTTCATGCAGTATTTATCCTGCAGGGTCCAGTGGCACAGTCTCACCATTCATCCAAGCTGGGCCTGTCAGTTACACCACCAACCCCCATGAAGGCTGTGTATACCCTCCTATTGTAGTTGAGCTTTGATTGCTGTTGGCACAACAAGGAGAGGTATTTAATTGCAGACTGATTGGCTGCAAGGACTAGCTGAGACCACCAGGGAGGATCAGCTGTGCCAGAACCTGCCTAGTGGAACAGTACTTATTTCAGTGGAATTCTGGTGCCCATTGACTCTTCCCCTTGAGTTTGTAACTTGTGAATGTAGTTGTGAGGTGCTTAGACATAGTCTGAAGATGTCCACCAGGTGCACTGGCTCTGGGGCCTCCCAGGAGGCATAGGCCAAGGTCAACTACCATCTGTGTTCTGCCTGGAGCCACCAGCATAAGCTACAAAGCAATCTGCAGATGGCCGCTACTTGTGCTGGCCTTGGAGGTGTGCAGGAGAGACCAAGCTGAGACCAAGGCTGGATGCTGGTAGTGTGAGGCCTGGAGCCACTTATCAAGAGGTATACGGCATGCTGGGGCCAGATGTTGCTCATTGGAGAGACTTCAGAAAAGTCTTAAGGATGAATTGTAACAGGCCATTTGTATGGAAAAGCCACTGGAAACACCTTGGGTGGGGTGGCGCAGGGTGTCAGGGAATTGCCAGGGCTGGGTGAACAGCGATAGCCAGGTTGCTAGAGAATCAATTTTGGCACCTGCCTGCTGGCTCTGTTTAGGGGGTGGTGGCAGGCTCAGAAAAGGAACAATGGCCTCTGACAGTACTTCTGTCTAGGATAAAACTGCCGCTCCAGCTCTGTTCGTGATGCCAGACACTTCAGTTCATTCCTATATATCCCTGGTGTCTTTCAAGCTGCTGTCCCAGTGCAATGACTCAGAGAGAGTCCAAGTAAGTCCATGTGATGGCCTTTAAGAGGAATACCTGGGATTCTGGAAAACCTCCATCTCACTTAGCCTTATTCCTCATTGGTTATCACAGCCAGAAGTTATGGGGACTTCTCTTCCTAGCACTGGAACCCTTGGGCTATGTGGCCTGATATCAGGTTGAGAACCCTTGATCCTCAGGGGGTCCTAGCAGCCAAGATATCCCTCCTGATTTTTAACCACCACAATGGGTATGGAACCAGCCCATTCTGTGTCTCTACTCCTCCTGCCAGTCTCATGAGGCTTCTTTACATCTTTAGTTGTAGGACTTCCATTCAGCCAGATTTCAGGCAGTTCTGAATGATGGTTGTTCTATAGTTTAGTTGTATTTTTGATGTGGTTGTGGGATGTGAGTACCACATAACCTTCATTACCATCTGGACTGGAAGCTCTTTCTTCTAGCCTTGATCTAAACAGAACTTCTTTCATTTTATTTGGCCATTTGAAGCTACAAGTTTTATTCACCAGATTCTCCAGTTTTTCTTTTGTTCTCCAATCCTCCAGATGAATCCTCTGTCTGGCTATCTCCAAAACTGAATATAACTGGATTCTATGAAAAATAACTTTGTACCTATATTTGCCTCTTTCTATATAGTCTATGTCTTGATAAATCTTCATGACTGCATTAAATTAGTTTTTTACACTTAGGAAAACTGAGAATATACATGTCTCAATATCTAAGACTCTTTTATAGGCAAGCTACTAGAATGAGCCCTGTGATCGTGGACTTAGGTGGCGGCATGTTTGAGCTTGCTGATTTTGTGTCTTACTAAAGATACAATTTCCATTTAATGGAAATTTACTGTGGTGGTCAATAGCTTGGGCTTCATTGTCAAATACAGCTGGTATCAAATCCCATTCTGAACTTAACAACTTAGGTAAGCTATTTATCCTTAGTAAGCTTCAGATTCCTCGTCTGTAAAATTGGATAACAGTCATCAAACTTACGAGTTATTATAAGAAATAATGACATAATGTATATAAAGTTCTTAGCATAGTTCATGTATTAAAGTCTTAATAAAAGCTAATTATTAGATACATAAGAAACTCCCTTTTATTTGGAATCAAAATCAAAATATTTTGCAGATCAACATCCTCTCAAATAAAAACTGCATTGTGTTACAAATTAAAAGTGTAAATCTATCATGGAAAAAATATTATTAAATTTGGCCCCAACATACAAGAAGAAAAATGGAAAAAATTCTACCTGTGGTGGACATAAAACTTTATTAATGAGTAAAAGACTCACCAGCTTTTTTTCCCCTCTTTAAACAGGCTAAAAGGAGAGATGAGATTCTCCAACTCTTAAGAAAACAAAGAGAAGAGAGGATCTCGGTGAGACCAATAGTGAGGCATTTGGATAAATCTGTCTGCTGGGGACGGGGCTGAACTGTGGCAAATTCTCAGAGATTGACCCCTTAAATCTAGATGCACATGGCCCAGAGCCACTTATATACCAGAGAGGAGCAAAGTGTAGACATCAGATAATTTGGCAATCCTTGGTAAATCAAAGACATCCTCAGAGTGTGCTAGCTCTGCTGGCAGAGAAATGCGGTGTTATTGTCAGTGAGCTTATTGTCACCCATTGTAAAGCTGTCCTGTATTAGGGTTACTGCAGTACTAATGTTTGTTTTACCATGATTGCTCTTACTTAGATCATGCAAAAACAAATGCTAAATGAAGAAAACAAACTTAATAAAAACAATAATAGCACCCTGTAAATTTATGAATATACAAACACACTCTCCTGAATGAACCCAAATCCCTAATCTGGAACATTTCTGACCTCACCATCTCCAGATGGAAGAAGCTAGTCCATATAGATTCTGTGATAATTTTACCTCAGATTTTCTTTCTATTAAATTTCAATCAGTGCAAGAAATAAAACAGTTCCTTTTTGATTTTTTGCTTTGTTTAGAAAGAACTTGTCTCCCTTCATCACAAGCCAAAGACCAAAGTACACAAAGCAAAGTAAGTATACTTCTGTCAACTATTATCACTGTTCTATTTTCCCCATAAAGAAGCATTTCTTTTTTCTTACTGACTTGGCCCTCTACACTCAAATTTCTAAAAACCTTCCCACTGATTTAGGAATTTCTTGCCTTATATAAAGTTTCCCCTCATCTACATTAAAGCCTGTGATGTATGCAAGCATAAATTAGTGTAAACAGGAAAGTAAATCAACCTTGTATCTCTGTACTTATTCTCTTCCCCTTCTTTCTCAATCTGGGTTACTGTATTCACCTGCTCTCACCCCTCAGCTCTCCTCTCCCCTACCCACACCTAGCCCCACCATCTTTGGAAAATCAACAGGTCTTCTAGATTATCAATGCTGATATCACCAGTGGCATATGTAAAGTTGTTAAATCTAAATTCATGTAGCAAGGGCTTTACCCTCACAGTGATAAGTGAATAGTCTTATCCCTGGAATAACGTTAGAGAAGGACCAGGCACATGGTTCAGAAGAGCTCAAAGGAAACTAACTACCACTAGTTAATCATTAAGAAAAAAATCTCAGTTTTTGTATTATGACTGAAAACTAATGTGGCTAACTCAACATTAATTTGACAAGTATTTATTTGAATAATACCTTCAGGAAAAAAACAAAGTAATTTTTGTTCTTATCTCATTGGTATTGAGACTGACTTCCTTTAATGTTATCAGATGTTATTAAAGAAAAATTAATACATCTACCCTAATTTTTAAAACTTTGAAGAAAATGAAAAGATCATTCAATCACCTGGCTATATCATTTATATAATGTTCAGCAACTTAATCACTCTCATTTTAGCCAGATGATTAAATTTAACTTCTAAGGATGACACAAAACTAGTTCTATCAAAAGATTCACTTATATCTGATTCAAATAATGCATGAAGACTGCTACTTGAATATCATCAACAGGTATCTCTGGGGGCCTTTGATTTCTGTGCATATTTTTGCAGGACTGATCAGAACATTTCTGCTACTATCCATGTGGGTCTATCTAAGAATAAAACATTATTTCACAGCTCAAACAGATAATTCCCTTAATGATTTGAATTCTTAATTTCTCTCACATATCAGCTTGCTAATTCTCCCTCCCTCCTCTGTCCTGAAACCTTGATTTTCATCCCATTTCACTGTGATATCTTCTTCCTCTGAGCTTCTTATAATGTTATCATCTTTTGGCAATTGATCAAGCACTACTTTGGCTCATATTTTATAATTATTCTACTCTTATTATCTCTTGAGTTGTCATTTAACTTGTCACATATCTCTAATTCATCTATGATGGTATTGTGAGCTCCATGAGAAATGGGGTCACCCAAAGTGCCTAGCACACTGCCTGCATGTAGGGATTCAGAAAATATTTGTAATGAAAAAAATTAGTTTAAACATATGTGATATTAATTAATTTAGAAAGAGGTGTTTTCTATACAAACTTTTTTAAATTTTGAAATATTTTAGACACATTGTAAAATATTATTGCCCTCTTTTTCCTCCCTCCATTCTTTCCTGTCTGCCCAAATCCCCACAGGTACACAGATACACCCTTGCTGTCCCTTCTCCAGCAGACCTTAAGATAATCCAAGTCCCCTTCTGTCAGAAAGAACTAGAAAATATGCACAGAGTAAGATTCGAGTAGCAATGTGTTTATTATCCACCCCTGGAATATTTGCATTGTAAAGAGGGCTGACTAGAAAGAACAATGGGCAATCCAAAAAAATCAATCACCAATGATGAAATCTCCCAAGTTTGACTCTTGGGTGAGCAAAACACATTTAGGGTTAGGAGTTCTTCTCCCATGCCCTTCAAGTCACACTTTACAATGGAATAACCATGTCTCTTGCACATAAGTTTATACTTGGTTGCAAATATCTAATGCATAGTCATAATCTAAAACAGCAAATCTTTATTGGGGAAACTTTTAAAAGCTGTTTTCCTGCTACTTTGAGTTCGCAACTACAGAGTTCTGTGTTTTGGAACTGATTTATGTTACTGCCAACAGGAAAGTGATTCCAGAGTCAAATAAAGAACAAGAAGAAGTCAAAGCCTTGAACTAATTTGATGGACACATGGTAGTGGATGGCATACTTCGATCTTCACTTTTGAAACAACCTGCTCTTACATCAGGACCATTGGGGTCATTAATTAAAATAGGCAGAGAAATAAAAGTTTAATATGCAGACTTCTTGGAACCTTACCAGTTATTGAATGCTTTATCTATGTTACTTATTGGGAACTACTGTATGTGACGGCACACAGTAGTAACTGTCTCTCGTCTTTCACAGTTTCAAACTCCTACTTTCCTTATTTTCATTTGTTATTTCCAGAATTGCTAGATTTGATCTGTATTATGAACATTGGATAAACAAGAAACAGGGCTTTATGTGACCCAATGTGTAGACCACCAGTAAAAACAATAGGGAAATAAGAATGAAAGGGAAGTCCTACAAAGTCTTCTTGCCGTTAAAGAAAAAAATCTGTTTTCCAAAATTTGGTTTTTTTCAGTTTCTGGAACACGTCTGAAGTGAGAAATGAGTTGTTTCTAGTTCTGTGAAGAGCTGCCTTAGTGTTCCTATGTCTTACACACATATACAATCTGGTGCCAACCTCCCTCCCTACCTTTGGTGTATATTGGAAAAGAGAAGGTTAAGTATCTATCCCTTCTGCATTGTCCAGCTAGCATTCTCACTCAGAATTGTACACTCTGCTCCAGTGCTCACAGTTCTATTTATGACCACTGTTCACTTTGCTTGGCCTCCACCTGCAACTCCTAGACATAGCCTCCATTAGCTGCAACTCCTACTCCACAGCCCAGTATAACTTAATCACAGGGACACACCAAACTGCAGGGAGGCCAGGAAACAGGCTTTAAATGGGGGGTGGGGATGGGTCTGCCTAGTTAAAATTCAGGACTCTAACACAAAAAGAAGTAGAAAATGGATAGTGGTGGAAAACTAGTAGTTTCTGCCACACTATTTGAAGAAAAATGTTTTGAACAGAAGGAAGGCAGACATAGGAAGAAGGAAGATTAGAAAGTTATAAAATGGGAATCTCATCTCAGCACTATTGAGAATAAAAGGCACCCTATCAGGGTGATGTGTTTGTCTGCTGGATAAATATCTATAATGAAGATGGACATAGCAGGCTATCAAAGCCTAAACTTTCAAATCATGTAACTAATTCTCTTTGTTCTGATTCCACACTCACAGAGGAACCTTTTTCTTAATGTGCTCAACATTAAATGCAAACATCAGTTTAACTGATGATTATATTTCTCAATGTGTGAATATATTAGTCTCTTAGATTGGGTTTGAGCTCGTCAAACTAAGGATTATCTTGGTTTAATTATCTGGACCAAGATAATTAAACCAAGAAAAATTCTACTTTGTGAGCTTTCTTGGCAATCAGCCTTCCCCCAGTAATCCTTGTCTGCATTACCAGGCGTAATGGTTAGGTATTACTGCAATAATACTGTGTGACAAAGTGGTCTAAAACAACACGTATTCTTGCTCACACATCTGTAGGTAAGGTGGGGGTGTGGCTGATCTAGACTTGGACAGAAAGCTGTGCTTCAGGCTACAGCACCTAGAGCAGGTCTGGTTTTCACTACAAGTCTGTTGATTGGGGCAGCTCTGCTCATTGTATCTTCTTTGGGATAAACATGAACCAGTGGAACATCTAAGCTATGTTCCTGTTAGGGAGTGGCAAAGCAAGAGAACAAATAAAAACATGTGAGGCCTTTTCCAGCGTGGGCTCAGAAACTTCTGGTTCATTCTGTTGGCCAACAAGTCCCATGGTCAAACACAAAGATAAAAGGTAGGGACACATACTCTGCTCCTGTGGTAAGAGGAAGTGCAAGGTCACATAGTAAAGGGTATAGATACAAGATATGTGAAGAATTTGGGTCGTTGTTGCAATCTAGTGCATTAGGTTGACCACATACCTTAACAAAGTCTATCTGGACAAGGGCCAGGGTATTAAAGGGAAAACTCAGGGCACAATTTAACTAATTGGACCAAGGTAACAGCTTCTCTAAGTTGTAATAGATGTTGTAGTGTTGGAAATAAAACTTTTGCAACTGACACTAAGTGACCAGCTATCTGCCCACTTGAATATCTATTTGCCTTACCAACCCTTCACAAAACTCAGGGTAACTTTTAGTGTTGCCAAGATTTAATTGAAACTTAGGCAAAAAAAATAAAAATAAAAATCTTGAAGGCCACACAGACGTTAAGTAAAGAAAAGCAGGACTGGAAACTATCAGATGCCAACTCAAGAGCTGATTTTCACCATAGCAGCTCTCCCTTTGTTTGGATAATCAGGAATTTCTAGAATGAACGTTCAATATGAGATGTTCTAATTAAGACATAAAGACTGGCTGTAAGTGAACTTGCTGTAAGTTCCTGCTGATGCTACTGTTTTCTACTGCACCAGAGCTTTCCCATATTATCAGCTGGAACTGAAACAGGCCACTCTGCTGCTCACTGGCCCCCATCCCCACCCACATTCAGGCCTCTTTGTCTGGAATTGCAGTGGTTCGAGCTGAGACCAGACCCAGAAGTCAGTAGCCCAGATGGAGCTTCTCCTAGGCTTCACGGAGCGGGGAAAGCAAGGAAATTAGACCCACCTTCTGTCACTTAGTACCTTAGTTTTGGGGTAGGAGGCTCATGTTATTATTGCCTGAATATATTTGAAAACCTTTTGCTTACTATAGGAAGCAAATGGAAAACACAACTGCTGTGGGAGTTCAGAAGAATGAGGACACAATGAAGGCTAGATTGTTGAGGAAAGCTTTTCCAGAGGAACTGGTGTCACTGTCACAAGTCCAGGGCTGAAAAATCACCCCCCACATCCCAACATGTGCACTGCAAAAGCAGTACAATGTTATTTCCTTGCTGAATTTAGAGGCACCCTTTGGCTTCTGGTGGAGCTGCTCTCCTCTCAGCCAGACCTCCACTTGGCCTCTTTCTCCTGACGCTATCCACACTGTCCCATAACGCGCCTGGCATGTGGCACACCGCCTCCCTCAGCATCTCTTCTCTGCATCTACCGTTCCTTTCTCAGGAGCAGCCCTGAAAGCCTGCGCTTGCACTCTATCCCGCCTTATGAAGGTCTGAGCTCCTTGCCTCTCCGGTTAGCCCATTCTGCAGAGCCTTGAGCGCCGAGTGAATTCAACTATGTCCTCGGGAGTTAGGGCGAGATGTGGTTCCATGTTTAGCCACAGTGCTCTCTTCATTAGATTTCAGAGAAGCCAGACTAGGATTTTCCCCCAGCCCTGAGCCCTAAGCAAATGCAGGATCTCCTTGGGAAACTCCCTCCGCTCCTCTGCTCGCTCCCCTCGGGAAGGCCCGGTGTCTGGCGCCCAGCTCGAGGGAGCAGGCAATGGGGGCGGGCCAGCCAGAGGGGCTGCCCTCCCCGCAGTGACGTCCCCGGGGGGCGGAAGGGAGACTGGCTGGCTCCGCGCCCTCCCGGCCTCGTCCGGGTGTCGGCCCGTGGGTCCTCCGGAGATGCTGCTGTTGCGGTGGCAGTTGTGCACACCGCTGAAAGTCTACCGGCTCCACCGCTGTAGCGTCCAAGTGTCCGAGGGCGCACTAGAGCCAGGACATGCAGCTGAGAGCGGCGCTGCAGGCCGTGTTGCTGGCCGCGCTGCTGGCGGGGCTCCGAGGGGCGACGGGTCGCCTGCTAAGTGGTAAGTATGCTGGGGCGGAGTCTGGTGCCCTGGAGGGCTAGGCTAACGCACCCACTGCACCCCAGACTCTGCTGTTCTCAGGGCTGAAGTGCCTCTTTGGCCTGCCGCGGGATAGGGGTGGCAGAGGGTGGCGTCCCAACCCTACTAGTGGACCCAGCCCTTCGGCACGCCCTGTTTCTAGGGGAGGAATCGCCCCGTGGCTGAGACGCGTGACGATTCCCTGCCTATTCTGGGTAGCTCGAAGTCCATTCCTGCCCCAGGTTCAAGGGAATTCAGGGGACGTAGACTAGGTGGACCGTGAGCAAAGCTGCCCTAGTAGGCACCCCTTCCATTGAGCATGGCGCAGTAGACCCCGGGACCCTCCCTCACGCAGGAAGAGCTCACCAACCCCCTGTCTTGCCCCCTGGGGACGTCTTCTGACCCCAGAGACGGCGGGTACAATAGGGATTCTGGATCGGCAGTGCCTGTTGCTCTTGGTCTTTTGCGGGAAGAAGGAGGGATGGCTGAATGCAGCACTCGAGATAAAAGCGCTTAGAGATTGAAAAGAAGCCTAGTTTGCACGGGACAAGCCCCGCCTGACTCAGAGAATAACTCTCTCTGCTTCCTTCCTCCGGTCGAATCTCTGCAGCCCCGGACTTGGACCTCAGAGGAGGTACATTGCTTTGGCTTTTCGCATCTTCCATTTGTTCTGCATGTCAGGGGATAGAAGATCAGTGCTCCTTTCTTGGGTCGGCCTTGCAGGCGACAGACTGGCCAAGGGGGACAGAGGACAATGAAAACCTGCATTCCGTTATCTTGCTTGCGCAGCTGATTGAAAAATTCTAAAGTTATTTTCAGGATGGGGTGGGTAGGGGGAAGTATAGCTGAATTGGGCTGCTTGGGTTCTGCTTTTTTTCCGTGGGGGACAGAAGTCCTCCCGCCCTCCCCCTTCCTGCAAATAAGAAGAGAGAGACCCTTCCTGGAGGCAACCAGATGTGCCCCTGGGCCTCCTTCCAGCTCCAGCTCTCTCTCTGGACTCACCAGTTAGTTGACTGGGGATGTGTGGCCAGGCTGGACCATACAGGAAATGCCTTTGAGGTGTTATGTTTTCCCTTTATAATCCAACAGTGTTCAGTGGGGACTACCAGTAAATTCAACTCAAACTTATGTTTTGTGGGTTGGGGGGTTCTGGGGCTACTGCATTTGTGCTCTGCTGGCTGTTTGGAGCCATCTCTAAGGCTCCTTCTCCCCGGACAGGAGCCCGGCCACAGCCTCTCTGTCCAGTGGTGCCAATTTCTCTACAATATCCCTTTAGTGAAAATGTCCCATGTCTGAGGCCTGTCTCCTATTTCTTTGGCAGGCCAGTCCTATTAGAGTTTATTTAGCAATAGCAGAATGACAAGAAAAGAAGAAGATGCAGAACTCTTATAACTTGTCACTTACTGAGAATTTCTTTACCAAAGCAATGAAAGAGAAAATAGAAAATAAGAAATCACAGGAGCTTTCTGGATTATCTGTATGTGCTGTGTTCCCATTCACACTGTGTTCTAGACAGTACTGAGAACAAGGAATGCTGTCTGGCTCCCTGCACAGCCGCAAGACAAGTTAGGAACATGGGAACATTCTGTGAGGGCTGGGAAGAGGTTCCCAACCCAAAACCCTTTATCTCTTGCTTTTTGACAGCAATTCACACCCATAGCCCACATTCTGGCTCTCCGCTGCAAGGTATTCCCCTTGTTGAAACTGGTTTTCACTTTGTGCATCTGGATCCAGAAACAAATCCCATCTGCTCCTGTGGGCTGGGAACTGGCATTTGTTTCCATATTCCCAGCGCTTACCACTGCTAGGCACCAACTGTGCACACAATACAAGTTGATTAAATGAAGGAATGATGAGCAAATGTTCCAGGTACAGCAAGGCTTCGGGCATCCAGGCACAAGTTAGGGGGGTGTGCAATGGTGAACAATTTGTTATTTGCTCCTCAGTAGATTCCTATTTATTTGTCTAAGAGGATCTTTCACCCTTCATGTGTCAGTCAGGTGAAACACATTATGTGGGCTCCCAGTGCAACCTGTGCCTCTAATGGAGCAGGGAGTGGGCAGTGTGGTTCAGTGGTTACCAGCATGACTTTGTAATGAGATCCAGGCTCTGACTTGGGCAGTGCTGCTGATAGCTATCTGACCTTAGCCAAATTACTTAATTTCTCTAAGCCTTGGGTTTTTCATCTGTAAAGTGGAGCATAAACAATATCTACATCAGAGTCTTGCTATGAAAATTCAATGAGATAAATCATATGTGTAAATGTAAAAAACCTTAGCACAGTTCATGGCACATATTGGGAGTTCAGTGAGCCTTAGCCATCTTTAGGAAAGATCAGTAGCAGAACACCACATGGATCTGATGCTCGTAGCTTCTGCTTATATCACAGACTGCATGAATTCTCAGTCCTGCCACTAGGCAGAGGGCTCCAAGGTAGAAAAGCCTATGCCTAATTTCAGAATGCTTCTCTTGCCTGAGGAAGCACCAAACAGAGATACCTCATTCAAAGCCACACTATTCCCTGACATTCCATAATTGCATGAAAGTGATTTTTGTGCTTTTAAGTGAAATCGTAAGTTTTCATTCACCTCTACTTTTTTAAAAAAATTTTGGTTCTTTGTTTTAATTAGAGAGAGGGGAAAGGCAGAAGAGAGAGAAGGGAAGAAATACCCATGTGAGAGAGAAACATTGATCAGTCGCCGCTCGTCCACGCCCCAACTGGTGACTGAACCCACAGCCCATGCATGTGTCCTGACCAGGAATCAAATCCACAACCTTTTAGTTTACAGGAGGACTCTCCAACCAACTAGCCACACCAACTAGGGCCATCTATCCCTCTTTTAAAGGATAGTCAAAAGTGTGTGTTGTTCAAGGATCTGTAATAGAACAAACAAAAATTGGAGTTCCTACACAATATAGTGTAACTGACTGCATCTCCATGTTGGAAGAGGTATTAATTTGCTCTGAGAACCCAAACTGACATTACGACAGTCCACTGGTGAGGAATCAGAATTGCATCCCTAGGGATGGCTTCTTCTACATACCCTGGTACATGTGGGGAGCCCTAAAATAGGTTGGCTTCTTTTTTCTCTAGGGCAGCCCATCTGCCGAGGAGGAACACAGAGGCCTTGTTATAAAGTCATTTACTTCCACGATGCTTCTCGAAGACTGAACTTTGAGGAAGCCAGAGAAGCCTGCCAGAGGGATGGGGGCCAGCTAGTCAGCATCGAATCTAAAGGTGAACAGAGACTGATGGAAAAGTTCATTGAAAACCTCCTGGCATCTGATGGTGATTTCTGGATTGGGCTCAGGAGGCGCGAGGAGAAACAAAACAACAGCACAGCCTGCCAGGACCTTTACACTTGGACTGATGGCAGCATATCAACATTCAGGTAAATGTGTGGAACCCACAGCAGCTAACTCACTTGACATAACTAAAAAAGGAGGCAGGCTACATCCATGGTGCCAGGTCAGAGAGGGAGAGGAGAAGGCCAACCCTGGCAACAGCCCTGAAGAGATGGCTACACGAGGTTAGCACTGACCAGAGCAGTGTGGTAAAGGTGGTGCAGCAGCCTTGATCTGGACCTGACTCATATCCACAGAGCTCCTTCAACAGGGTGCAATCTGAAAAGGTTGTTTCAGTTGCATGCAATGCTTTGTGTCAATGGTTCTAGCTATCTGGCTTTTTGGGCTAGAACTCCACTGAGAGATTAAAGGTCTGTGGGGCTCCAGACCACAGGGAATCAGAATGATGTGTAAGAAATTAGAGCCAAGATCTGATTCCATAGATTGGCCAAGAGAGCACTTAAGGAAGGTTGCAGTTTGTAGAACCCTCCCAAATCCACAGCATCAGGACTCACTCATTTCACACCTGACCCTGGCACCACGACATTGCCATAGCCTTCCCCCACACCAGGAAATGCAGTTGCATGGACAAACATCAAAAATATAAGATTAAAAGGCAAACGTAAGACTGAAAAAATGTTGTAACAAATTTAACAGAGTATCTTTTTATTAATTTAAGTCGAAACACTAAAAGTTTATATAAGTTAATAAAATCCTAAAAGATAGAGGAAAACAACCTAAGCAGACATTTCAGAAAATACAAAGTCTGACTGGTAAACAATCATATGGAAAAACAGTTTAAACTCATTACCAATCAAAAGAATGAAGGTTGAAATATATCTTTTTTTATCTATTACATTTAAGACAGTATGGCAGCATCTATCATACCCATTATGCTGATCACATCCCCATCTTCCTCTGAGTTCCAGGAGTACCTCCTTTGGGATTCTCATGGGTATCTCCTCCTGGGAGAAACTTTAAAAAGGAAGATTAATAAGATGATCTGCACTCCCCTCCACTGCAGCTGGTCCCAGGGCCACAACGGACACTTACTCATCTCCCTCCTCTACTGTCCAGTCCAATTCCCCTCACCCTCTGCTGAGGGAGAGGGAGGCCCTAGTCACCTTGCACTCCTCAGGCCAGAAAAATGATTGCACTTTTCCATTTACCATCAAAATTGGCACATAAGTACCAACAGGTACCCAAGTATGTAACCTGGGTGCTAAACTTATCTCTCTGCCCATGTGTGTAACAGCAAATGTTCTTCCCATGATTAGGGTCAGTCACTCTCTGTCAAGTTAATGGGTCCTCTTCTTGCCTGCTGGTCCCTGGACATAAGGATCCCAGAGTACCCAAGTGACAGCCATAGCTCATAGTTCAATAAGGCTCTTGCTATATCTTGTAATGGGTACCCTTTGGGTACCAGGACCTTTAAACTCATAGAGCCCAGAATTGCAGAGACAGGAAGTACAAATTCCCCAAGTGACAGTAATTGGGACTATTCCTGCTTCCACCTCTAGTCTTGCAAACCCATGTATTCTTACTCTTGGAGACACAGGGTGATACTAAGGTCATTGATTCAAAGTACACACTGCATCTTGGAGGATGATGCCCTGTTCGTACAAAATACTGCCTCTGAGCTAGTGCTTCAGCTGTGTTTTCAACAACTCTTCCATATCTCTGCCAAACTGGCTGCTTCAGGATAGTGCAATATACAATAGAACCAGTAAACCCATGGCCAGGTGCCTCCTCCTTCTCCTCCTTTGCTGTAAGGTGGGTCCTTTGGTCTGATGAGATGTTGCACAGGATCCTATGTTGGCAGATCAAATACTGTGTAAGCATTTGGTAGTGATGCTGACTACCAAAGGTAGTCAGCCCTGAGGCAGAAAAGGCAAACTCACATCCAGATTGTGTGTCAATTCCTGTTAAAGTGAATCACTGAAAGGAGTCCAATGTCATCAACTTGCTACCAAGTGCCAGGCTGGTCTCCTAGAGCTGATAATCTTTCAGAGATTTAGCACTGGTCTCTATTGCTGGAGGCTAGATGTTTGCCAGCTGCTAGAGCACCCTTGGCGAGTGGGGGCTGATGCTGTTGAGCCCAAGCATAGCTTCCATCCCTGCCACTACAGCTACTCTGGTATCTATTGTGCCAGTACTTGGGACAGCTCCTCACAGGCTGGCTGACATCAGCTGGCTCAGTCATGTTGTCCCCCTCATTGTTTAGGGCCCCTTCCATCTAGAAGCTTTCTGGTGGTCTTTAACACATGATAGAGTCTCATACTCCATGCCTATTCTCATAATGTCTTTTCATATCACTGTATCCAATAGCTCCTTGTCCCCAATCTTTTACTTTCTCCTTTTAGAAAGATTTTTTTCCTCCTGATCAGCTGGCCAAGCTCTCCACTCTATCCCTGAGTCCTTTCATATTCTGACCTCCAATAACTACCAAGTAAGCTCTGGACATTGGGAGGATGTCCCCTTAACACTTGGTTTTTCAAGGCCACCTCTGAGTAGGGCTGGAGTGCAGCTATTGTTCATTTGGTGCTATACTCCCTTACTTGGCTGACCTCTCCACAAACCAGGCTTGGGCTGCTTCTCTCAGCTAGTCATGAGGGATCCCTTATACAGCTGTAGGTGTCAGCAGAGGAAGAGGCTCTGGTACAAGAGTGGTAGATGTCATGAAAGCCTGTTCTACCTACAGTTTGGTAGAGCCTACTCACACAATGCCCCTCAGTCCTATGTATACCTTTTCCATCTCATAGTGGCTTAATTCCAGGCCTGCCAACCTGTGACTGTGCTATCTGACAGTGCCTTACTTGTGATGGGCAACTTGGATTGAATGGTCTGATGCTCCTTGCATAGTTGCAAGCCACGTGATTCTTTCTCAGCTATAGATGATATGGCCTTGCTACAGAATCCTAGGGGTCTTTATTATGATTCTTCCATTGGGGCTTGTCACAAATTTGATATGGCATTATTTCTCCTACCACTGATGCCTCTGATAATATGGTTTATTTGATCCTATGGCCCAAGTAGCAAGTCTGTTTGCACCACACAGCCTACACCTGCTTCAGAGTCCTTTTCTGCCCACTCAAAGCCAGCAGCCTTTTGTGTCAGCTGGTATAAGGGACAGAGGTGTATTCCAAGGAGTAGAATATGCCACCTCTAAAGGCCAAAGAGTCCTACCAGGTGCCATGCTTCCTTCTTCAAGTTACTGCAAGATGCTTTAAATTACAGCATGAAATCCTTTCATTTGAAAAGCCCCTACACATTTTCATGAAGTGGCAGGTCCCTGAATCTTCATAGAGTTTATCTCCAACCCTTGGGTCACACAAATTTCACTAAGAAGGCCTCCAATATACTAGCTGCTTCTTGCTCATCTGGTTCAATTGGCATGATGCTACCTATACAGTGGACCAGTGTTATTTTCTGCAAGATGTCTAGACAGTCTTGGTCTCCTCACACCATATTAGAACAGAGGGCAGAAAAATTAGTGTAGGCTTGAGGGAAAACTATAAATGTGTGCTGTGGTCCATTCCAAATAAATGAATACAGTTTCTGATTCTTTTTGTGATAAAGATGGAAAAGAATATGTCCACCAGTTCTGCATGCTAGGTACCAAGGTAATATTAATGTGCTGTAGCAAAGACACCACCTATTGCATAGCAACAGCAATTGAGGCTTCTACTTGGTTCATTTTACACCACTTCAGTATTATCCTACAGGATCTGACTGTTTTTTTATTTTTTCAGGAGCCAGACTAGTGAATTAAACAGAGATATATGATGGGGGAATGCCATTGTTGCATTCCCTAGGTCTTTAGGGAGGGCACTGCTTTCTGCCATCTTCCCCTAGGTAAGATATTGTTTTTATTTATCATCTTGAAGAGGGTGGGGAAGAATGCAGATTCAGAGGCTTCCACTTGACCTTCTCCACTATTACAGCTCTTGCCCTATAGACTTTCAATTTATGTACTTGGGGTCTGGGGGATAACCACTGGGTGAGTACCTCTATAAGCTAGCTGGCCCTGGGCCAGGATTCCACTTGATACCTGGCCTCAGTATGCTCCCACTCTAATGGGTAGCCTTGATAACACTCAGGGTATCAATGTCAATTTGTTACCTTGTGTCTAACAGTCTTTATAATAGTTGGGTATTCCTGTTTTCCAAGTGTATGGTTACTTGAGTAAATGGCCATAGGTTTGTTTGAGAGAACAGGGGAAATTATTACCACATGCACATGCTGTGGTATTGCAGAGTACTTGGAATCTAGCCTCTTCCTTCTATCAGTGAGTTCTGAGCCTGAAAATTGGCTCAAGACCAGAAACCAGGTACCAAGTATAATATTCCATCTATTCTATCATTTGTGAAATGAAATAACCTAAAGTCATAAGGCCAGTGGGGAGAAGAAGAGGCCAGTCAGTGTAGGAGGCCCCCAATGGAATTGCAGAATGGCCTGGAGGTAACTAATGAAGTGCAGGGCCCGGCCCCAGATAGGGCAACCAGCTATCCAGGCAGAGTATCTAAGCAGTGTTGCAAGGTCAGATGTTATCCAGGCATATAAAACCCTGTGGGTACAGCACAGGTTTTTGGTGGGTGGCAACACAACACTCAAGCAGAGCTGTAGTGGGGTGCTATGAGGAGACCTATCTCTTAGCTGTCTCCTAAGGAGGGTCTCTGACAAGAGCAGGCAGAGCAGCAGGGCCTAGCTAACAATCTGAGCATCAGGGCAAGGTCTGAGTTCTGGAAGAAAACAGCTCAGGCAGGTTACCAGGCAGACTAGAGCCCAGCCATGGCTCAATGCATGGGATATATGCTTACAGCACTTAGACTCTCCATGGAATCTACAACCTGGCACCCACATATCCACCTGGGTGGCAGTACCAGGTAATTCCAAGTACCGCTGTATAGTGGAGCTAAGGCTGCTAATGCACCTCATCCAGGAGTTAGAGAGACAAAGAAAACAAGTAGTGGAAGCTGACAGAGCAGCCTGATGAACTGGAAACCACTGAAAAAGGCTACATGGGCCTCCTGCTCTTTCTTTTCCCCCCTCCCTCACTTGTTTTGACAACCTCTACATTTTGGAAAGTCTTCCAGGGCTAGGAAGGTGCTTATATTCAATTAAAAAGTGTGAGGAGATGATAGCAGGGCAAGATCTGGATGAAATAAGTCATGCCTCTTCTCAATGCATCTGATTTCTAAACAAAGAAAAACAAACCCAGTTATCAAAAAGCAAGAAAGAAACAAGATTGTCCAGACTGGCGCTGCTAGCTGCCTTTTCTAATAATTGCTTTGCAGACATCATAGGGTAATGCAATTCTCCCTCCCTGCAAAGAGGTTATGGCAAATGTCAGATGATTGATCATGTTGTCCATATTAGAAAGCATGTGACTGTTCTTACTGGCAGTACTTCAATTCCTCCCTCTCTGTATCTTGTTCTGAAGCAGACTCTTAAGTTCATGACTCTGTGTTTTCCCATCATGGAATTTAATTGGAAAACACAGGCTTTGAAGTTTTGTGGTATCCTTCTGCCTGTTGTCTCCACTGTTGACCCCTTTCCTACAGGAACTGGTATGTGGATGAGCCTTCCTGTGGCAGCGAGGTCTGTGTGGTCATGTATCATCAGCCATCAGCACCCACCGGCATCGGGGGCCCCTATATGTTCCAGTGGAATGATGACAGATGCAACATGAAGAACAATTTCATTTGCAAATATTCCAATGGTAATGAATCCTCTCCCAAGTCCTGTGGCTGAATCTCAGTTTCCTGTCTCATTTCATAAGCAGCTGCTAGTTCCAAGCATTTGCTATGTGATCTCTGAGAAAGTTTGTTGCCAATGCCAGCAATGCAAAACACTGGGAATTCTTATAAAGGTACATGTGATGACCCTTCCTGACTGAGGAGGAATTCCAGCAAAGGAGTGGGGCATCAGATGCTAAGAGAAGGGATGAAGAAAAGAAAGGGTCTAATTTATGGATAATAAACCAAGAATTGTGAGAACCTTAGGAAATAAAAAGCCCTCTAAGGGGACAATTACAAATTCTTACTCTTTCCACATGTGATGTTGGCTGTAGGATCTTGGACTAAAGAAAAAATATGAAAGGAAACTGGCCATTGTTCCTACAAGTCTTCCAAGAACCCTGTGAGATTATTTGCCAGGACTTTAAGGAAACCAAATAATGACCAGAGATGGTAGATGATAAAATACACTTATTTCAGTGGCATTATGCAAAGAACAGACATGTTGATGAGCTGAAACTCCCAGGTCACCCTTTATATAAACCTTGCAAGTTCAACTGACACTTGCTTCTAGATCTGTTAAGAGTATAGACTCTATGATAATGTAGTCATATTCTGCTGGAGTTTCCCAAACTCCTCCACTATAACTGACTTGGATCTAAACTTGACATGATTTTTGTTCTGTCCCTGATGTTTCTCCCCTCCATGAAGCCAACTGCTTGGCTCCAATTCTGCATCCTTTCCTGACAGGAGTATAATAACTGGTTATATCTAGTTGGTTACTAAATAATTCTATCATTTTTAAATTGTTTGAATTGACTATGCTTTTGCTGCAGTTTTTGCTGCTAGAAGGTTTCTTTCTTCCCACCCCCTCAAGTGACTGCTATGCTCCAGAGACGTAGCCCTCCCCACCACACAGAGTTGCTGTAAACAGGACAATTGCAAAGATAGAGGCTGTCTTAGTGGGTCATCTTTCAGGGCAATGACAGCAAGAGAGATATTCAAGAGAATAATTCAATAAATGAAATATATAATAATATTTGAGTGGAGGTTATATGGGAATTCTGTGTACTGTTTTTGCTAATTTTCATAAATCTGAAATTACTTCAAAATAAGAAATTTAAAAAACATTTCCTCTGGGTAACCTCCCAGGGACCCTCAAAACTAGATTAGGTGTTCCTCCTCTGAGGATTGTAGCACCTCACACACACAATACTGTCACTGCTTATTTACAAGTTTGTCCCCTTCTCTACATGGTTGGTGAGTCTGGAAACATACATGTTTGACCAATTAACCCCTGCACTTGATCAATTAAGGTCATCCAGTGTGGTTCAAACTGGATGGTTCACCACTCATTATGCCAGAGTATCAAAAGACTGGTTGAATAACATCTAACACTAGATTTGACCCCAGTACCACATAGAGAAAGTAGGTGGCATGCTAACCAGATCTGAACACTTGATTACTTCTGTCATATGCAGACAGCACAGGCAGATTCAGTGAAAATCAGAGACAAGTCATTAGAGGTAATGCATTGCAGATACACTGCAGGACTGAAGGAAATGCTGCGTTAATATGCTGATTACTGCAGGTTTACACAGTGGACTGAACCATGGAAAGACAGAGAAATGAATAGATCATGTAATGTTGAATATACTTATATTATAATGTAATATCACAAAATCAATATTAATATTATTCTATATTTCCATATTTTATGGCCAAACTGTAGAGTGTAAGAACCTGAGAGGAATTGGGACCACTTCTCATTTGCGATTTTATCTCCATTACCTAGCACAGAGTTTGTCTTTTTATGATTTTAATTTTCATTTGAATTTATTTAATTTTAATTTTTATTTATTGATCTGAGAGAAACAGAGAGAGAAATATCGATTTGTTATTCCACTCATTTATGCATCCATTGAAGTATCTTTGTCAGCTAATCTCCATGTAGGTCAGTTTGCTTATGTACAAAATCAGAATAATAATAGCACATACCTCAAAAGGCTGTTATCAAGATAAATTGTGTTTGTTTTTAAAAACCACATAGAACATGATGATGTTTCTGTCATGTAACATGCACTATATACATTTATTAAATGAACAGATTTGCATCACCTCTACAAATTCATGAACTTATGAGAAGATGATTGAAAGTGTTCTCTCTGAATAGCTTTGACATCCTGGCCTTAGGACTGTGAATTCTAAAATTTTGCCAGTAAGGACCTCATCCCTGTGAGTCCCAGAGCATCTGATTAGCATAAGAGTAACTGCCAACACAAGAGGTTGGCATTCTCCCAGCCAAAAGTGAAAACATTAGTTACAGGTTATCTGTGCAACCTGACTTTCCTGAGGCTCTCTGAAATATTTAAAATGACTCAGGGTTCTAGATCACCAGTCTGTACTGAGGGGCTGGCCAGTGGTCTACTTAGCCCCCCAACTACTTCCACAGCTTGTAGATCAGTATTTGTTGCTTTCTAAAACATACCAAAGGGAATTGTTAAAATCTTTTTGATTGCTTTAAAATAACTCCAACTTGAGTTTAGTAGAGTAGGAGTAGGGATTATTGCTGAAACTAAAGTAGCCATATGTTGATAAGAGTTGCAGTTGAGTGATGGTACATAAAGTTTCATTATTATCAGTCTTTCTATTTTTGTGTATATTTGGAAATTCTCATATTCAAAAATTTCAAAATACTTTTTAAAAAAGAAAACGGTGCCCAAGCAAAATTGGGGGAAGGCTAGTCTTTGTGCACAAATGATCCTTTTGACATAGTATTTCCATTCCTGCCATCAAATGAGCAAATAAATGGAATCTGCGATCCGACTAATTTCATTCAGATGGCATGGAAATTTAATTATTATTTTTATTTTTGTTTATTTTTGCTACAGAGGAATTAACAGCTCCTTCTATGGGGCCAGGAGGTAAGCCTGTCTTTTGAAATTTGGATTAATTGGGGCTATTTCACAGCCCTTCTTCATAGGGTTAGAACAATATGATCTTCAGACCAGATTATTCAACAGAAAGATTACCGAACACTTAAACAGGTATGTACCACACACAGACATAATAAATAGTTCATTAATCTCATTCTCTACCATTGTCTATTTCTCTCAAAGCTGAAAAGAAATAGTTACAAATTCAGTTTGAGATGTTACTTGTCATTATTAACAATATGAAAGGAATAACTCAATCTAATTAAACAAAAGCACCGATGGTCTTAGAAGTGACTCATGGACTCTTCCCCTTATAAGGCACCTGGGTACTGCATGTGTCTTGATGCCAGCCACCTGCTGGTTGTTTCAGGACATGATCCAGTACATGTAAAGGTAAAGACAAATAAGCCTCTATGCCAGCAGATTCTACTCTTTGCTTTTCTATGTGTATAAATGGCACTTGTCAAATTGCTACTGCCTTTTGGCTCCCCACCTTGAACCTGGTAGGACCTCAGAGAATATCTGGATTATGATGCTTCCTTTCTCCAGGTTCTCAAGTCCATGTATCTGTCTCCAGGTGAAAAAACAGAGCCAGCCACACCTATACTTCCAGAAGACACAGAGAAAGAGGATGCCAAAAAAACCTTAAAAGAAAACAAAGGTATAAAGAAAACTCTCCCTGGAAAAACTGATAATGGGACCCTCCTGACCACAAACTACCCACAGTTACATTTCCTACTTTCTTCTTTCCACAGCTACTTAACAGCAGAACTAGACAGGGCATGTGTGACTCTGCAAAACTGCATTAAATGTTAGATTTCATCAGCAAAGTATGCAAATAGAGGCATCTTAAGACAATCAGGTAAATTATCTGCATGAAGATAGAGCCTTGGGGTACAGGCTGAGAAAATGGATGCAGAGAAGTAGGAGCAGACAGACCCAGACTGTGATGCATAACATCCATGTTTAATATTCATTTGTGAAACAAATAGAGGAAATTGGTAAAAACATTTTAAAAGTTAAATCATAAAAGATAAAAGGAAATGGGCGATAAATTAGAATGTTAGTGGACTTTCAACCTTGAGTTCCAAGAGGGAGAGCTAGGTTTTTGTCACTGAACAACTTTTAAGAACCACTTAATATCTCTGTGGTTCAACTTAATCATTTAATAATAGAAGTAATAATAGTTTTTTCACCTGCCTGAGAAACTATCCATAAAATAAAACAAGATATTGCAATACTGCAATTCAGTTCTGACACTAGCCACCCCACTGGCACAGACCCTACAGGTAAAGGGCCAGACCCTATCAAGTTGGCCCTCCCTGCAGACATCAGCCACAAGTCCCAGGGTCCCCAGGACAACTGCACTTCTAACCAACTGGCTCTAAATCCCAGGGATGCCCACAACCCCCTCAGGTTCATTAATTTGGTAGAAGGACTCAAAGAACACAAGGAAATGCTGTACTTATGACTACATTTTATTATAAAGGATATAAATCAGGACCAGCCAAATGACAAACACACATAAGGTAAGGTCTGCAGAGGTCCCAGACTGGGAGCTTCTGGGTCCTGTCCCTGTAGAATCATGCTCCTGGAACATCAATGTGTCCACCACCCAGACAGCACCATTGAGCTTTGGTGTTTTATTGAGGTGTCATTACATGGGCCTAGTTGATTTGACTGTTGGCCACGTACTTGAACTCATTCTCTAGGCCTCACTCCCTCTCCACCAGCCCCCATTCTGAAACATCTCTGTCAGCATAAACTGATATGGTCTGAGGGGCTCATGAGTAGCAGTCACTCTTATTACCTGACAAATTCCAAAGATGTAGCACCCCTCCCAGGAATCTGGGGCAAATTTGTTATTCTACAACAGATAATACGCATATGTGAAAATATTTTTATAAAAGTACACAGTGCTATGCAGAGATGAGTTCCATTTTTATTGCTTTTTATTATTATGGTAATATTTAAAGTATAAAACCTATTTAAAGTAGGCTTTATTTTGGGCTTGTGTGTGTGTGTGTGTGTGTGTGTGTGTGTGTGTGTGTGTGTGTTTCTGCATAGAAAAACAAAGCAACAGCCTCTGGTTGGATGGTATGAAAGGGGTCAGTCCCCAATCCTTGATTCCTCCCCAAGTCCCTTGAAAGATAATTCCCTGACAGAAGGTTCTGCAGTCTGATTCATGTGCTCCATGAGACTTGCTCTTTCCTGGTAATAACTCAGACTTCTGGCTTCCTCCTTTTTCCACCCATCTCCCTCACCCCACCATGGGAACTACCGTTTTCCATTTTCATCTTTACAGTCAAAGACATCAATGCTGCCCAAGCAGCCTCTTCTACATTAAGGGTGAGGAAGGACAAGAAGAGAGAATATCTTTTGTATGGACAAAAAAATGAGTTAAAACTTCCCTTCTGATATCTACAGGAAGCCCCAAAATTTAAACTTCTTTTCTCTATTACCTAAAATAATAGGACAGGTAGAAAATCCTCACTTTTTTGAAACTACATGCTCTTTGCAATACTCTGTGTTGGGTACATTGATTATGCTTTTTAAGCCTATTTTGAACCATATAAAAACATCACTAATCCTGATAAAGTGCATTTTTCTTTTCAGAAGCTGCCTGGAATGTTGCCTACATCCTAATCCCCTGCATTTCCCTTCTCTTCCTCCTTGTGGTCACCACAGTTGTATGTTGGGTTTGGATCTGGAGGAGGAGGCAAGTAAAACCTTTGTTGTGTAAACCTTTGTGTCTTCTGAACTCTGCAATTTGGACATTACCCTGTTTACTTAATTAAAAGCCGTGCCAGGTCCAAGAGCTATCACAGCAGATTGGAGAGTAACTTCTTGGCCATGCTCAACTAATATACCAGTACTAAGCATTTGTGCTTAGTTGTGATTGAGAGTAATCTTGCATTCTTTAATTTTTTTAATGACTTAAGGGGTGAAACTGTGTTATTCTATAACCACTCATCAGTGAAGTGCTCTTATAAATGCATACTCTAAAAATTTTTGCTCAGTGAGTGAAGGAATGAGTAGTAACCCACATGAAAAACATCTCTTTCAAATCATTCTGGCAAACATCTGAAACCAATTCAATTTATTCAAAATGAAATAGCCACATTTGACTTTTCTTTTAATTAAGTACACAGTTGTAGATTGCTACAAAACAGCTATATTAATAGCCTAGGGCAACACTGTTACAGATCTTGTGCCACCCTTTTGAGATGCCCAGAGCTCTTCCCAGCTCCCGTTTTATTCCCCATTGTCATGGTACACATAAGAAGGCTGGCAGGCCCACTTTAGAATGGGAAAACCAAGGTCCAGTTTAAGATTTGACACCCTTGGATGACCAATTTAAACTGAATTAGTAAGATTCTAGTGTAGAACCTACTTCATTTGATAAAAACTTCCTTATAGAATTAAATCAGTTAATATATGCAGAATGGGCATATAGTAAGCATTTAAGAATGTTAGCTCTTACTATGATTATTTTTATTAGCTGATTCCTTTTAATCTGAAAACAAAATTCAGCTCAAAAATTACAAATGCATTTTAAAACTGCTTATGCTGCAGTTGGTTCTTTTATTTCTTTTTAGGATATTACAAGAGATTTTATTTTCTATTTTTTTCTTTTAAATGTTTTTTATTGATTATGCTATTACAGTTGTCCCATTTTTCCCCTTTATTCCCCTCCACCCTGCACCTCCCCTTCCTGCCACCTGTGTTCTACCCCTTAGTTCATGTCCATGGGTTGTGCATATAAGTTCCTTGGCTTCTCCATTTCCCATACTATTCTTAACCTCCCCTGGCTATTTAGTACCTACCATTTATGCTTCTTATTCCCTGTACCTTTTCCCCCATTCTCCCTCCCCCTTCCCATTGATAACCCACCACTTTATCTCTATTTCTGTGATTCTGTTCCTGTTCCTGTTGTTTGCTTCATTTGTTTTTGTTTCTGTTTTTTTTTTTAGGTTCGGTTGTTGATAGTTGTGAGTTTGTTGTAATTTTACTCTTCATATTTTTTATATTTCTTTTTCTTTTAAAGGGATAAGTCCCTTTAACATTTCATATAATAAGGGCTTGGTGATGATGAACTCCTTTAACTTGACCTTATCTGGGAAGAACTTTATCTACCCATCCATTCTAAATGAAAGCTTTGCTAGATAGAGCAATCTTGGATGTAGGTCCTTGTCTTTCATGACTTTGAATACTTCTTCCCAGCTCCTTCTTGCCTGCAAGGTTTCTTTTGAGAAATCAGCTGGTAGTCTTATGGGGACTCCTTTGTAGGTAACTCTCTCCTTTTCTCTTGCTGCTTATAAGATTCTCCCCTTATCTTTAATCTTGCATAATGTGATTATGATGTGCCTTGGTGTGTGCTTCCTTGGGTCCAACTTCTTTGGGACTCTGAACTTCCTGGACTTCCTGGAAGTCTATTTCCCTTGTCAGACTAGAGAAGTTGTCCTTCATTATGTTTTCAAATAAGTTTTCAATTTCTTGCTCTTTCTCATTTCCTTCTGGCACCCTGATAATTCAGATGTTGGAACTTTTAAAGTTGTCCCAGAGGTTCCTAAGCCTCTACTCATTTTTTTGAATTCTTTTTTCTCCATCCTATTCTGGTAGACTGAACCAATTTCTTCTTTCTGGTCCAAACCATTGATTTGAGTCCCGGTTTCCTTCCCATCACTGTTGGTTCCCTATATATGTTTCTTTATTTTACTTTTCATAGCCTTCGCTTTTTCCTCTATTTTGTGACCATACTCAACCGATTCTGTGAGCATCCTGATTACTAGTATTTTCAGCTCTGCATCTGATAGGTTGGCTATCTCTTCATCACTTAGTTGTATTTTTTTCTGGAGCTTTGATCTGTTCTTTCATTTGGACCACTTTTTTTTGTCTCCTCATGCCTGTTACATAGTAAGTGGTAGAGCCTTAGGTGTTCACCAGGGCAGGACAACCCACTTTGCTGCGTTGTGGTGTTGTATATAGGGGAGGCATCTGAGAGGGAACAGTGCCCCTTGCTCAGTTCTCAGACAGCTTTCAGTCACTTCCTCCACTATCCACAAGCAAATCGGACCCTTCTGGTGCTGATTTCTGGATGGGTAGTTTTGTGTGTGTTTTAGGACCCCGTGGGTCTCTCCAACAAACTGTCCTGTGAGGCTGAGTTTCTCCTGTTGCTGCAACCCCTATAGGTTTTTTCAATCAGAGGTTTGGGGGGTTTATTGTCTTGCACTGGAACCCTGAGTTGCATGTTCTGTCTCACTCACCAGTTGTTCCTCCCAGTTTATCCCCAAGCAAATGTGGGACAACCTGCTCTGCCAGAAGCCACCTCACCATTCCTACAGCTGCTGCCTTTCCTTGAGTCCCCTCCACCCCAGCTGCCTATCTCCACCCCTCCCACCAGTCTGGGTGAATGTTTCCTCTTTAACTCCTTGGTTGTCAGACTTCCATACAGTTTGATTTTCTGGCATTTCTGGTTATTTTTTATTTTTTAAATTTGTCGTTGCCCTTTTGGTTGTGGGAGAAGGCACAATGTGTCTATCTCTGCCTCCACCTTGGCCAGAAGTTGCAGTTGGTTCTTGATTTCCCTTCTTTAATCTATGTATGTAGCACCTCACCGAGATTTGGGAATTGTGACTCTGAAACTGTAGTCTATTTCACAGGTAGTCTATTTCACTTTTCTTGCACCACAGACCCCAGTAGCAGTCTGGTGAAGTCTATGGACTCCTTCCCAGAAGAATATTTTTAAATGCATAAGATAAAATGCATTGGATTGCAAGGGAAACAATTATACTAGTATAGAGTTTAGCAAGAAATTTCCAAAAAATGAATGTGATACAGTAATACATGTACTTCTTTATTAATGCTTCTTTATTTAGTGGTGGCTATAAGTATAATTTTGAAGTAGAGATGAGAGTAAAATATTTATCTGTTATAACTGATGTGATATGAAAATATGTATGATCTTTGTTGTTGATCAAGTCCAAGATATTATTAATTCTATTCTGATTTATTGCCTACAGTTAAGATTGAAGGACATGCTAAATGTCACTTGGAGAAAAGCTTTTTTTTTACTGTGATATTTGTCCCCACCTAGTTCTATTCATGGACCCTCTGGGGGCTCTGGGGATCCCAGGATAAGTGTCTCTATTCTGTGTTCTAGCAGCAGTGAACAGACAATCACTTTAAACATACAACATTTCCTGTTTTTTACCCCACCACACCCTGAAGCCCTGACATGTTAAGTTTAGCCAGGTGACAAGTGCAGGTGACTAGCGATTGCCCAGGATGACTTCCTCCTCCCCACCAAAAGGCTCAGGGATGTTCTCAGTCTGCCTGTCTAAAATATTCAGCCCTGGTTTCTTTCCTAGGAATCAGGAGCAGACCAGCCCCAGCACAAAGGAGCAGCACACCATTTGGCCATCTCCTCACCATAGACCGGACCTGGAGGTTTACAACATCATACGAAAACAAAGTGAAGCTGATTTAGCTGAGACCCGGCCAGACCTGAAGAACATTTCATTCCGAGTGTGTTCGGGAGAAGCCACTCCCGATGACATGTCTTGTGACTATGACAACATAGCTGTGAACCCATCGGAAAGTGGATTCGTCACTCTAGCGAGCATAGAGAGTGGTTTTGTGACCAATGACATTTACAAGTTTTCTCCCAACCAGATGGAGAGGAGCAAGGAGTCTGGATGGGTGGAAAATGAAATATATGGTTATTAGGACAAATGAAACACACTTAAACTTACAAAAATGGGAGAGAAAAGAGAAGCAAAATTCTTCTATTTTCTATAAAGAAAACACTCATAAGGCCTATGAAAGTGCTGTTACCAAGTCCTGGAAGGTGAGCATGTGATCCCAAATAGCCCCTATTAAATTCCCAAGTTGTGGCTATATTCCTTTTTCTTGGCCTTTTACCCAGGCCTATCTTGTGAGAAAGCACCTTGCCCAGGGTCTGGACATAGTAGAAAATAAATATCAGTTGGTTGATCATAGCCAATATGCAAGGGACAGCGCTTTCATTGACAGGGATAAGGCTGTGGCTATGGGACTTGGGATACCTGTCCCAGGTTCCGTTTTTCTTCCCAGCCCATGTACTCACAGAGAGGCAGGAATCACAGCAGATTTCAAAGCCTACTTGTGCTAGCATCCGGCTGGCCTGCACATCAGCAATGCTTGTATCTTATTTTTTCAAAGAATCAAATCAAATCAAAAGCAGGAAGCAAAATGTTAGTCAGTCTGTGTCTGCAGCCCTTCCTCTGCATGTGGCCTCATGGGACCTTTTTTCTTCCTCCTGACATCCCAACTTGGAAATACTTTAGAAACAAAAATGAAATTTGAATTTGGCTTCCAGGCTTATTTGTGTTCCAGCCCTGACACTGCACATTGTTCTGTTGGTGTGTTTGTTTTAGTGCAGCATCAACACAATGTTGCTAATAATAATGACGATGACTCTTCTCTTTTGTTTTAGGAACCTATTTCCAATACTTTTGGACTCAAATCCAGAGAAAGGTTTCATGGCCTCACACCAGTCATCTACCATTTGAAGGTCTGAAGGCCATTATTTAAATCACCAGCAACCTCTCTCTATCAGTTTAATATTATTTTAACCATTCCTCATATATATTATTTTTAGAGTTTGTAGCTTTGCCTCACATGTGGATCCCCAAACAAGACAAATTAACTAGTCAGGGTCAGGGCTGCATAGAACACAATGGATTGTAACCACTGCTCAGTGACCTGTCCTGCTGGGGGGCAGGGGGCAGGGAAAAGGGTGGACACAAAAACATCATTTATGCCTGCTTCAGGAAAGTGTATTTGGTGGAGTTACCACATTTCAAGCAAAAATGGTGACCATGTGGTCTGAAGGACTAATTCGTTGCTCTGAAATGAAGTCCCCATCTTGCTACACACATCTTGGCTCTGTGATCTGTCCCTTTATCCTCCCCTGTGATCCTCGACTCTGGCCACTAATAGCTGAGAACCCCAGGAGGGCAGAGGTCCCATTGGCCCTATCAGCACTGTACCTCCTACACCCTTGCTCTGTGCAAGACAGCACCTTGCACAGAGTACACAGTCAACACTGGTTGAATGGATGAACAATTCATCTTTCAGACTGATCTAAAATAGCCTAAATATTTCAAAAGTTCATAGGACCTGTTTTTCACACTCCACCTGGGTGAGGGTGGTAACTGAGTTATTTTAGTTTGAATACCACTCCTGCTAACAGAGGAACACGGAAGAGTAGTGACAAGTAAACAGAGCTGGTGAATTGTTAACAACTTGCTTTAATTATGTCACTTAAACATGAAATGAGGACCTATTCTTAAGGTTGTAATTTCAGTGACCCTTTCAGCATCTTGTCTTTGTCATTCAGGTGTTATCTGCACTGGAACCCACAGATTTCTTCCTTCTGGATTTGCATGCAGCCAGCCTTACCCTGCATTTAGATTATTCAATTTCTTTTCCTCCTCTGATTCACTAGCCTGAATTTATCCAACTCCATTGCTATCTCTAATAATTGTGCTTCACTTATTTAACAAATTTTTATCAAAAGTTTTTGTTCAAATTGAACATCTAGTTTATCTAGTTATCATTTAAAAATTTAATAAACCCATTTTGTCATTTAAAAACCCAGGCTCTCTCCCCACGCCCCCAACTCTGATACACACAAGAGATGAAATGTATCTATCAAATAATTCCTTGGGTCTATCCACTTAAAAAGAATTTATTGAGTATCTACTCTGTGCCATACACTGTGTTAGATGTGGCACACAGGCCAAGGCTTGAATAAGTTGGGTTGAACAATAGGTTACATACTTTTCTCAACATGCCAGCTAGAAAGACTTTTTTCCCCTCATGTTATTTCTTCATTCTTTTATTCACAAAGTTTAATTATACCTACTTTGTGTCAGGAAACATGCTAAATGCTAGGCATGTGATGATAAATAAGGCAGACATAGGCTCATCTCATGGAGCTTGCATTCTAGTGAGGAAGGAAGACACATCAAAACATAAATGAGTAAAAGAGAATTTGCTATAATTTGTTTTTAATTGTGTGCAACTCTTTCTACTCTCCTTCCCCTTCCTTTTCTTTCCTGTCTGTTCCTGGACACTTCAGTCCTAAAGCTATTAGGTAGACCAGAGGGAGGTAGGCATCCATGTCCAAGAGGGTGCAGGGACTTGGTAGTTCCTGACTGGGTACCAGGCATGAACAGGGTGAGAAAGGTGTCCATACAGAGGGCATACCTGGCTCAGATGTGGCCTGAGTAGGTGAGGAGGCCATCCATGCAGAGCATGGGCCAGCAGCCACAGTGGGAGGTTGGTTGCACAAAGGGGAATTGGCAAAATAGGTAAGCATACTAAGGGTAAGAAGTGCCAGGTATATTGCTATCAGAGATGAAAGTTCCAGATACAAAAAGGGTGAAAACAGGAGTGGAATTCACAGTATGAGATTAAAGTTAGAAATATTGGTGTGACCTCATGGTTTTCAATACAGAGTATATACGATGCCTGTCCAGAAAAAGTCTAGCCATTGTTAATATAATGAGAATGGTTTGCACAACATCAGTGTAAACTAGCAGCCCAGGAGAGAGGACTGGAATGTGCATGCATAAACAATGATGACTTCACTGTACTAGTCAGTGGAGGCAATAGATGCTGTTGAGTGAGGATATGTACTGTGTGGCCATCTCATTCAAAATGACTGAGTGAGTAAAAAGCAACAAATCTCTATCAAATTGTGCATTAAGCTTGAATATTCCTCCATGGAAACTCTTTGGATGATTCAGAAGGCCACAGCTATGGGCAAGTGGTGATTGGCAGCTTCATCATGACAACATATCCACTCATCCATCACATCTTGTGCAGAGTTTTTTGGGAAAACATCAAATCATTCAGGTGACTCAGCCCCTCTTCAGCCCATATTTGGTGCCCTGAAACTTCTCTGGCCTTCCCAAAACTAAAATTACCTCCCAAAGGGAAGAGATTTCAGACCATTGTTGAAATTCAGGAATATGCAATGGGGGAGCTGATGACCATTCTAAAAAAGGATTTTGCAGGGTTTTGAACAGTGGAAGAGATGCTCACTGGGAGAACTGTAAGAAGTACCAAGACGCCTACTTTGAAGGGGACTGAGGCATCATTGTCCTATGTACAATGTTTCTTGTATCTTCTTCAGTAAATGTGTCTATTTTTCATATTACATGGCTGGATACCTTCTATACAGACCATATATATATATATATATATATATATATATATACACACACACACACACACACACACACACACACACACACGTGTGTGTGTGTGTATACATATACATTCAAATCTAGCACTCATATCTTGGCTTCTAAGTTACATTCTCTATGAAAATAAACCAGAACTTCCAGTCAAGATGGCATTGTAGACAGCCATGCCTCACCTCTTCACATAGCCACATCAAAATTATAACTAAAATATAGAAGAACCATCATTCAGAACCATCAGGGATTGAGTTGAATGAAAGTCTGACAACTATGGAGTTGAAGAAACCACATCTATCCAGACTGGTGGGAGGGATGGAGATGCAGAACAGGCTGGTCCCTCACCCATGTGTGGTGGATAAAAATTCAGGAGAGATATCTCAGGACCAAAGAGTCCCAGCACCACACCAGGCCCCCCAGTCCAGGGTTCCAGTACCAGGAAGATAAGTCCCCATAACTTCTGGCTGCAAAACCCAATGGGGATTGAGTCAGTAGAAGAAACTTCTGGAGCCCCAAGCAGTTCCTTTTAAAGAACCCACACACAGACTTACTTACTCACACTCACTCCCTCTGAGCTCAGGCTCAGAGTAGCAGCATGAAAGGCACAGGTGGCATACAGGGAGGAACTGAAGTGTCTGGCATCAAGGCAAGCAGAGGCCATTATCACTTTTCTAAACCTTCCCCCAACAGAGCAACTGAGCTGACAAGCCAGTGCCATATCTGAGACTCCATCAACCTGCCTAACACTATTGACTCACCTTGGAGATCCCCAGAGACTCTGCCCCACAAAACACACCAGCCCACAAAAGCTGCTTTTCCATATGAATTGTCTTGGCTCATGCTGAACAACTTCCTAAATCCTATCAAACAAGCAACAGCCAGCCTCAGTGAGCCCCCACACCTGGCACTATCAGCAGCCAGCCTAGATTCATAACTTGGCTTCACCTAGGATCTCCAAGCCCAGCACAAGTAGCAGCCATCTCAGCTTGCTTTATAGCTCAGGCAGGGTGGCCCAGGCAAAACACAGGTGGGGGCTGACCTTGGCCTGCACCACCCAAGAAATCCCAGGGACAGCACACCCAGTAGACAGCTACAGACCATGCCAAAGCACCACCACCTTGTCCCTGCACAGCTGATCCTCCACAGATGGTGGAGGTTGGTGGTCAGTTGTCACAGCCAACTTTGCAGCTGACTGGTGGGTAAATCCTCCTATTGATGTGCCAACAGCAATCAAGACTCAACCACAAGAGTAGGGTATACTCAGCCCAGATGAAGGGGACACTTTGATTATCCAGCTTGGAGGGCAGGGGAAGCTGTGCCACTGGACCCTACAGGACAGCTAAACAATTAGGCCACACTACCAAGACACAGACTCAAAGCAACCCTACCTAATACATAGAAACAAACACATGGGAGGCTGCCAAAATGAGGAGACAAAGAAACATGGCCCAAATGAAAAAAAAAAAAAAAAAGATGAAAACCCCAGAAAAATAACTAAACAAAATGGAGATAAACAATCTATCAAATGCAGAGTTCAAAACACTGGTTATAAGGATGCTCAAGGAACTTAGTGAGGACCTCTACAGCATAAAAAAAGATTCAGTCATAAATGAAGGATACAGTAATAGAAATAAAGAACAATTTATGGGAAACAACAGTAGAGTGGATGATGCCAAGAGTCAAATCAATGATTTGGAACATAAGGAAGCAAAAAACAACCAATCTGTTGAATAACAAGAAGAAAAGAGAATCCAAAATTTGAGGATAGTATAAGCAGCCTCTGGGACAACTTCAGGAGGTCCAAAATTTGCATCATAGGAATGCCATAAGGAGAAGAGAAAGAGCAAGACATTGGAAACATCTTTGAAAAAATAATTAAAGCAAACTTCCCAAATTTGGTCAAAGAAATAGACCTGCACATCCAGGGAGCACAAAGAGTCCCAAATAAGATGGATGCAAACAGGCCAACTCCAGGACACATCATAATTAAAATGCCAAAGGTTAAAGATAAAGAGGGGATCTTAAAAGCAGAAAGAGAAAAGCAGTTAGTTACTTACAGGGGAGTTCTCTTAAGACTGTTGGCTGATTTCTCTAAAAATACTTTGCAGGCTAGAAGGAATTGGCAAGAAATGTTCAAAGTCATAAAAAGTAGGGACCTATAGCCAAGATTGCTCTACCCAGCAAAACTATCATTTAGAATTGAAGGGCAGATAAAAAGCTTCCCAGGCAAGAAAAAAATAAAGGAGTTCATCATCACCAAACCATTGTTATATGAAATGTTAAAGAGACTTATTTAAGAAAAAGAAGTAGATTAAAATGATGAGCAATAAAATGGCAATAAATACATATCTAACAACAATTGAATTTAAAAATAAGCTAAGTAAACAAGAACAGAGACAGGATCATAGGTACAGAGAGGGTTTTGATGGTTGCCAGATGAGAGGCAGGTGTCGGGGAATGGGTGAGGAAGTGAGGAGATTAAGAAGTACAAATAGGTAGTTACAGCATAGCCATGAGGATGTAAAGTACAGTATAGGAAATTAAGTAGCTAAAGAACTTATATGCCTGATCCATAGACATGAGCAATGGTGTAGGGATCACCTGAGGAAGCGGGGATTGCTGGGTGGAGGGGGCAGTGGAAAAGTCAGGACAACTGTGATAGCATAATGAATAAAATATAATTTAAAAATTTTTTAAAAATCAAAAATTCATAAAAGAAAATGCAAACTACCATTCTAAGGAGCATTTGAATCTTGTTTCCCAGCAATTGTCCTCAGTGTGGCTCAAAAAAAATCTTACAAAAATTTTTTAAAAAAGAAAAGGAAAGAAACCAGAACTTCTTGAAAAAATGGCTAATTCCCTGGCCAGAACAGGTAAAAAACTAGATTAGCTCAGCAGCGTCTGGCACAAAACATAAATAAATAAATAAATAAATAAATAAATAAAGCCTCTTTTTATTACAAAATCTTTTATTACAAAATCATAAGCAAGTAATTCTGTAACATAACAATATCATACTCAAGCACACCATATGACATTTTAGGGGAAATGTTCAACTTAAAACTATAAATTATTACACCCATACTATTACCCTACCAACTATGCTCAAATAGGCATTACTTCTGTCTGATCCTGTATTACAGGCCAGCTTGTAGTGGACCACACTGGCCCAATGTGGGACAATTTGAGCATCAAAATAAATAATTGTAGTGATGGGTTATAACCTACTGGATAAATAGGAAACCATGAGTCCACACTGATATAAAAGAATAAATTGACATTTTGATGAGGTATGGAATTTACATAGTTTCAAAGCATAGTCATACCTTGGTACTCATCAACTTCAGAACTCATCAAACCCTGTACTCGTCACATTTTGAAGATAAAAAATTATTTCAGCCCCAACACTTGCTCAGGACTCATGGCACTTGCTAGAGTTTGTATGAGTC